ATGCAAAACATTAAATACCAGCAAGAACTTCAGATGTTACTTTGAATGAAACGCGTGAGCTGTAAACAATACTGTTTGTTGATAACCAGGTGGTTCGGCGTCACCTGACACGGTCATTTGACAGCATAAAAATAATTAACTGACAAGAGATGTCAAAATGTTTGAATTGAAGGGGTTGTATTTTTAGAAGTGATTGATTTTTTTGGAAAAGAAAGTTTTTGGCTTTCCACTACTCCATCTTGATACAAAAAAAAATAAGGGAATTTTCCAAAGAAAGGAATTAAGTAATCAATCTGAAAATGAGTAACTCTATACATGTATGTGTAGATCATGCAGAAAAGTGACTTTCAGACTCAAACTGAAAGAAAGTCCTCCTGAAACAGCTACTTTTTTATAAAAATTGAATTACACGAAAGAAAAAAAATCTTTCGAAACAAATACTTCTATATGAATACTGAATCATACAGAAGATACTTTTACCCACTCAGTTTGTATTTCTAACATTCGTTGTGTAATGAAAATCAGATATCATTCACATGAGTTCTACTTCAAATGAATGGTAATTCATTTGAATTAATGTTTATATGAAAGTAGCTGTTTCAGGAGGACTTTCTTTCAGTTTGTGTCTGAAAGTTACTTCTTTGCATGATCTACACAACCATGTATAGAGTTACTTATTTTCAAATTGATTACTTTCTTCTATTCTTCGGAAGATTCCCTCATTTTTTTTTGAATCAAGATGGAGTAGTAGAAAGCCAAAAACTTTCTTTCCCAAAAATGTCAAAATGTGTTGTTATAAAAATATTGAATTTATCTATTTTATTACGAAACCAGGACAGTTGTACAAAAAACTTTGTATGATATTTGTGAGTTTCATTTTGTTCGTGAAATTGCTCAACTTGCTACGCTCAACACCTGACTTTCAAGCTTGACTTTCAACACTCATGTCATAAATAGCTATTTTAACGTGTTTCTTAAATGAAATCAAAGGTGAGTCTTTATTAACCAGGTGAAATCCTATTCATTAGTCAAGTTACATTATGAGAAAAAGAAATTTTAAAGGGAATAGTTCTATGAGTTATGTACGTCCGTTTTGAATCTCATTTTATGGTATGAATATTAGTTACGATCATACGGAACATGTCTCCAATACAAATTTTACATCTTGCACTTTTATAAATCGACCACATATATAATAAAATGCATCAGCGTCATATTTGACATTTCAACTTTTTTTAGATTCGAATATTACTTCGATGAATGACATCTGATTTTTGTGAATGTAGAAACCCCACTTTTATTTAGCGGAATTTTTGAATATGTCAGAATCAATTTGAATTCGTATAAAAATTCGAAAATGTTCGTTATTATTTTTGAAACTGTCACGAAAGCAGAGTTTATAGTGTGACAAGTAATATTATTATCGATTTTGGTAGATACAATTGACCGGCAAATCGTGGAATGAACTCAAGGACACGGTACGAATTTTTTCCGTAGAACTGTGTTATAGGTCTGTACATTCAATAACATGTGAAATTTCACTACGAACAAAGACCTTCATGTTATAAATACTCATAGATATAACGAAATTCATATCAGCCTTTCTAGCTCTCAAGTATTATGAACAAATAATATTCAGCCTTCACTACATCGAATCTAGTGAAAATCTCAGGAAATTCAAATTCGAACAGAAGTCTTCGATGATTATTTCCATTCTATCCGGAAATTTTCTAACTGGAAGTAATTTCTTTTTAGTTGTGGTATAACTTGTTCAAGCCTTCTGCGATTGTATCAACCTTCGTTTCATATAACAAAACAATATATAATAATGAAGAAAAAATCTACATTGGATCCGATTTGTTGAAATCAAAGTTCAAAATCAATCAAATCACTTGTGTCAGGTTAATCTTCCAAAAACATTATATGAATGAATTGAAATTTCCCTCCAAGAGATTTATAGAAACTACAATGTACATTGAATCAATTTGTTTTCGTGATAAATGAGAAAACTCGAACTTTAACACAGAAAGTAATCAAGAATTCAAACTTATTCCTGGCCACGTTCACTTGAAATATGATCCTCCTTCTTTTTCGTGCCTGCAAAAAATAACTTTGCTGGAAAAGACATCCAATTACTCTCTTATATATACACGTAAATATAGTGCCTCCAGAATTAAGCGTGTAATGTTGCCTCATTACGGTTCTCCAGCCATTTCTTCAAGATTTATTCCTACTTTATTTCTATCCCTTATGCAAATCCGACGAAATTACTCCACTTTATATTTCCTTTCACACTGTTCGGTCTTCGAATAATGACTATGCTGATGTAATTGTGAAGTGCATACCTACATATATTTCCTTCTTTTTGCGTGTTCGTAAGTCAAATTGGAAGAAGAATTTCATGTAACATATTCTCGTTATCTTCTGAGTAACTCATTCAATTTGGGAAGCAAGATCGTGGAAATATAGGTGGGAATTCCAATGGAAATTTGGATAAAATCCAGTTTATTCGAGAGGAATATGAAGAATGTTGGAAAACATTTCTGTATTATTCCATCAAATATCAGTTTCATCATTCATTTACATGAAAACATGTATAACATTTATATTTATATATATGAGCAAACATATTTTCATTTTGCATCAAGAAATTCTTTGATACTATAGTAACATTTGTCTTGCAAATATACTTCCAATTTTGATCTGAAGGAGTTTTTATTCCGTTGCTCTATCAGGTTTACGGGAAGATGATTGAAAAACTTTATACCTCTATATGAGGGGCTTTCTTCATAGAATCATGAGCTGTGTGCAGGAATTCTGATGAGGTCTCCGTTTCTAGTTGGGTAACCATGACAATGATAAACGTTTGATTGGTTAAATGACAATCTTACAATATTCTTAAGCATTTTAATACAATTATTCTTTTTAATAATAAGTCTCCTTATCAAAATATCAATTAGAAACATTTTTGGCAAAAGAAATTTTTAACACCTTTAATGCCAACAAGTCGTATGTGCCCAATCATCACAAATCTTATACTGGTACCATTCTACTTCGCTCTTAGAATAATCTCCATTACACATAATACAATAATTTTTATCTTTCTGTGAAGTAATCTTCTTGTTTTTCAATTCCTAAGGATTAATTTCATCATCTGAGCCTGTTAATGAGGAATCATCGTGCAAATATATTTTGGCGCTTGAAACACTGTGTCGTCGAACTTAGTCTTTTTATATTTTGTTTTGTTGACATTTTCTCAACACCACCTTTTCTAGGTTTATTTTTATTTTATTTTTTTCGGAGTATCAGCTGATGACATTTTACGATTATTTGATTTTGAACTCTTTCTGGGAACTGATTCAAGAAAAGGTCTTACAATTTCGGGGCTTGCGAGTTGTGATGTTTTTGATCAAACTATCAGACTCACACAAACAGCAGGAAACAGGCATCGACAAGCGGAGAGTCAGAGGCCACGGCAGCAGCCAGCTCAAAGGAAACCAGCACCGAAGGCGCAGAAAGCCGGAGGAAATGAGCTGGTCCAAAACTGTTTAAAATATGTTTAAAATATGTTTTTCCGTTAATCAGCTGTCGCCCTCATACGAACGACACCTCTCAGAAGTTGAGAAACTTGTGCGAGCTAAGGACTAACGAGGTCTTACCTTTTGCCGTTTGATTCCTAACACAGCCGCAAACTACAATATTTACTAGGTTATCATTTAATTGAAAGCGAAGTACAAGCCAAAGCAGTGTAGCTCAAATATAAATCCCCATTCATTTCATGTTCTTTGGAGAAGAAAAATATTCCTTGTTGTTGCTTTTCCACTGGTTCTCAGATAATCGCTCAGTCTGATGTCACAATAATGAACCCACAGTTTCAAACATTTCATTGGAAGTGTAGTGAATAAAAAACAGGACAGAACGATCATTAGCAGTTGATTAACTGTCAAGAAGAGTATGCTAATTGAGCAATTAGCAATTATTTTTCTCGCTTCCTCAGGGAGATGTATTTTTGCAACGTTGCTAGCCTTGATTATATCCATTGAAATTCTATTCGAATTATTTTCCCATTTGTTTGTGTTAAGAAAATCAAATCGATTGGATTATCCTTTTTCTTTCGACGTGAAAACAATTGAGATCTTCTTATGTTCAGTAAACTGTAAAAAGACAGCTTGGGTGAATGAGTAAGGCCTGTATCTATCTCTGGAAGTCAACTTCAATGATGAATTACAAAGGTATTTCTGACAAAATACATTGTTAATTTATGAAAAAAAAACATTTCGACAGATCTCATTGAACTTTTTACTCAATATTCCGTGATCTCAGTATAGAAAGGGTAATCTTCGGTCAGGTTGACGCCGAAGCTTCGCTTTGCCACTGACCGCCTTTGGGAGCCTCGTTCATTGTTGATGTTCGTAGTGAAGTACTAGATTAGATGAGGTTCTAGTTATCAATTATTACATAATTAACGTTGTATATAAAGTATATTTGGTATTATATGGTATATATATTTGGTATCAACATTGCACTCGTGCGGAGCCGAAGCAAGTCGGATTGAAATCAAAAGTGCTGATTTCTCAAGACAATGAATCGTGCCAAAAATTAATGAAAATTATGGCAAAATTGCATGAAATGGTCTTCAGATTACTTACGCGACCACCGTATCCTTCAGATTTGACCCCTAGCGACTCCGTTCTCAGACCTCACAAAAATGCCCGTTGGAAAGAAATTTAGCGGCGATGGAGAAGTAATCGTCGAAATTGAGGCCTATTTTGAAGCTAAAAACAAATTGTCCTGTGAAAATGGTATCAAAAAATTGTTTGAAAGTAATTTGTATCGCCTACGAAGAAAACTATTTTGAATGATGAAATCTGCGTTAGCCTAGGAACTTGTCAGCCCGAATAGAAAGTTCGTCTTTCCATCATATACAATGTTTTCCTACAAGAAAGTTATTTCTACTTCACTAGTGTTAATTAAAAGTAATATCTCTCCCTTGTTTTCAGTGCCTCCACAGAGGATGGTTATTACGGACGATTCAGGGGCTCCATTATCATCCGTTGTTGGACCTTTTCCCGAAGGAGCTTCGTTTACGCTACGCTGTGATGTATTTGGTGGTAAGAAACTCTTTCCAGATTAAATTTCGTTAATGAATGGACAGATAAAAAGTCCCTTGAAGTTTTATAAGTTTCAAACTCCTACAATCTGTAGAATGAATAAATCTAGATCATGTGAGAACTGAAAAGTACAACCCGTGATGTAACTGCAAGTAAATGTATTATAAACTTCTGACAGTTTCATTTAGTTAGTAATTTGTTGTTTCTATCAATTTTTCCTCAATATGAAATGAAATTGGAGATTTGAATCATCATACTCAGATTATCTACAGGGACAAATCTTTCAGAACAGTCTTATCTTACCTACAAAGTAGGTTTATGGACTAACACAGACCGGTTTCGGCCTTGCACTCTTCAGTGCATGGTAGTATCCATCATCAACATGCAGTCGATGATTTCCAATAATTGAAAATCAAATTTTTCTCACAATATCATTATTTGAAGTAGGCTGAAACGAATGACAAACAACATATTTGTTATTATATTTAATTTTCTTCAAATGGCTTAAGTTTCGACAAAAATGTATACTTTTAACAGTATATTATTTTGGCAGTCGATACTATATAACAGTTTCTGCAGGCAAGTTCAATACTGAGTTAGTTTCGAACATGCCTGAAGAACCTATTATGTAGTGAAACAGATGCAGTGGCTTTGTGAATTGTTTAGTAAAAATTTACAATGTAGTGTTGTTCAAATGCCTTATTGAACTCAATCAGTATCTGTCGAAAAATATGTTGATAAGTCTACTCCAAACTGTAATATCTCATTAAATACTTGTCCAATTTAATCTAAATGAGCGCCATTTGAATCAGTGCTCTTTTACCAATGTAGCACTGGTGTATTATTTCCGTCAGCATGGAAATTGTGTGCTCGAGATTCGATAAGATTGTTTGAAGAACACGAAATAGCAGTAAAATAGTATCCAAAAAAATTGGTTGGGTAGGGCGGGGCTAGTTGATCATTATGGTAAGTTGGGCAATCAAAATACTTCCAAAACTATACACTGGACGCTAGCACGTCAAATGAAAGAAATGCGGGGGCGCGGGAGGGGAACAGATCACGCGACCGCTAGTGGCTAATTGACGATCGAGTAAGGTACGCAAGCGCTTTATTTATTTTGCAAACAAAAAGTAAAAAAATCGTGTATGTGTGAATTTCTTATGTACAGGTCAAATGTTATTCATTTTCAATCAAGTAAGTGCAATGATTTCATGTATTTTTGATATCCATCATGGATTTTGTTTAAACTGATACAGTTTCTTCATAACCTCATTTCAAATTCAAATATTCGGGTTGGGGTATGTTGAGCAACTGTTGCTCAACTTACCCCGTGATTAAAAATAATAGTGACTTATATTTTTCTCTCGTTTTAGAATGCGGACGTATAGAAGGACAACTTCAAGAGGTGTATACTCAACTCAATATTTAAATGGATGGACGTCTCAGTATTTGGACCGTTCAAAACGCCTCTGCACAAGATTCATGGCTACGAAACAAGTCAGGGTAGACTATAACCATCAACGATATCCCAAAAATAGTCGCTGATTCACTGCCTCTTGCTCAGACAAGTATAAACTTTATGAATGGTTTCAAAAAGACTGGCATCTTCCCATATAACCCCAACATTTTTGGCGACGATGAGTTTTCACCATCGTCTGTAACCGACCATCCAGATCCGGCATCTATTGACGTATTCAACCTGATCGCGTTTCGTCTACCTCTGCCAGTCAATGTGAACCTGAGCCCAGTACGAACAATAAAGAAAATGGACAGCTCTAGAAAATGTTCAGCCATACCCAAAGGCAGCTCCATGAAAGATAAGTGCAAGTATGCGAAGAATGAGAGAAGCTGCAACTCTCATGCACAGGTACACCCGAGAAAAACGCGTTGCAAGAAGAACAAAATAAATCTAGTAAAAAAGTTAGGAAGCAAAAGAAGAAAATAAAAAAATTGGGGGTGTTAGTAAAAAATTACTTCAGTCATATGATGAAAGTGACAAAGATGAATGTATCTGCCTGGTTTGTAGCGAATTCTGGTCTGACAGCATACCAGGAGATAAGTGGATCCAATGCAAAGATTGTAAAGAGTGGGCACATAAAAAATTTGTCCAAATTACTGGCTTATGATGCACTGTTCGGAACCTTTGGTGCAGTAATGAATATTACTGGAGTTTTTTCCCAACACGAAATCGTTATTTTTAACACCTCGATCACCAAGTGATCATCTTCAAAGATTAAGATTATTCTTCCTCTTTGAAGTTTGAAGATCATCAGTGTTATTATTAGATTGACTGGTGCCTCAGCTATACTTGTTTCTCTATAAAAGTCAGTTAGATTGGTGTATGTTTGGCAATACAGTCGATCATTACCTGTTAAAAATTCCATTTTCAGATGATTTAACAATAAGCTTCGCACGGACTGGTTATTAGTCATATTAGGAAGAGCTAGATGAAGTTCCAGAAATTCACATAAGTTTTCGCTACTTCTTGAACATTTACTACAAAGTAAACAAGTGAGGATTTTTCCAGCAAAAGATTTACAAACACTGATCGGCTCTAGCTTCATGAAGCTCATGAAAAAGCAAATGTGGCACTGGAATCAACGAAGTCGCCCCGGAGCGCCAATCAATTTTTATTGTACTTTTTATTTTATTTTTATTGTTGTTTCATTAATAATTTGTATTTCATACTTCGCTAAATGTTTTGTAAAATTGTAAATTGTAATGTAGAATGCATGAGCATTCAAAATTACTTTGTAGCTCCTCACACTTTATTAAATATGTTTTTGTAAATTGGCTTTGCTGTTGAATGAATAAATAAATCAAATTTTCTATTCATATTTTCACCGCTGAATAATTTCTGTTTCAAGAACCTTTTTTCAAGTTTAAAACACAGCAAGGGTTTATAAGACATTCGTATAAACCGACCAGAAGTGTTTCTGGGTGGAATTACAAATCGAAGGACATCTCCACCATGATTTCCTGTGAGAGCTTACTTGCACAACGATACTTCTGAATGCGACTTTATTCGCTAGCCTTTGATAACGCTCAACTGCAGGTTGAGTTATCTCGCAGTTGAGAGTACGTGCAATGGCAATGCAACGAAACTGCGCCACCGAAAAGTCACAATACCGATGCTATAAAACGTTCTTTACGGCTCCAAAGGGCCGATACGCCATCGAATTCAGCGCACCTAATCACGCTTTTGTTTCAGCTAAACCTCCGCCGAAGGTAACATGGTTTCGCAACGATTTAGCGGTCAGCAATACGAGCGTCGCTTTGCCAACCGCCGGGTCGACACACGTCCGCAGCGAGATACGCATAGAAGACCTGGGGCGTCGCGACGTCCATTCCGAGCTAACCTGCCAAGCATCCAACAATCCGAGGACGCCGCCTCTAGCCGCAACTCTACACGTCGATATGAACTGTGAGTGTAGCACTTCGATATTTGTACTCTTTTTCAAGGGAATTCTGTTTTTCTGTTAACCAGCTGTCGCAACCCTACGAACGACAACCCTATGAAGTCGAAACTGCGAGCTAAGGACTATCGAGATCTCACCTTTTTCTAACACGGGTTGGACGATAGCAAGTGAAAATCGATCGTTCAGACTAGGGCTTGAACCACCGATCAACACGGCGGTCAATTCGAGTGAGTGAACAAAGCACCTTCAAATCTCCCGGAGAGGATGGTATATTTCCAGCTCTTCTTCAAAACGGACTGGAAATAATTTTACCTATTCTCACAAAATTGTATAGAGCTAGTCTGGCATGGAACTATATACCAAGCAGTTGGTTGGCAGCAAGGGTGGTATATATAACTAAAGTGGGCCGGAGAGACCCACACCCCAAATCGGTACGACCAATCAGCCTTACATCCTTCCTGCTGAAAGGACTTGAGAGGATACTGGACGGACATATCAGGAGGGTAGCATTATATGCATCCTCGCTGAATAACCACCAGTATGCTTATCAAACCGGCAAATCGACAGATTTACATTAAATAACTTCGTTGAGGAAATCTCCCAATCCCTTGACAACAATGAGATTGCGGTTGCTGTATTTCTTGATATTGAAGGAGCATTGGACAATGCACTACCTAAATCTATTGGCTAGAAAGGGTGTAGAATCGACGATAACTGGCTGGATCTATGCCTTGCTAGTAAACAGAACTGCAACTACGACTCTTCAAGACGAGGCTATCAGGTTCAGGGTCACCAGGGGCTGCCCTCAAGATGGGGTACTATCTCCCCTTCTGTGGTTGCTCCTGTTGGATAGTCTGGTTGATGCCCTCGACAGAAGAAAAGTTGATCTGCAAGCTTATGCAGATGACGTTGTCATCCTGGCAAGGTCCACGTCGGGAAGGGTAGCTTGTAATTTCCTTCAAAGCGCGTTGGACGTTGTTCACAGTTGGTGCCTGAGGGAGTAGATGTTTGTCAACCCCAGTAGAACTGTGTTAATCCCTTTCACCAAGAGAAGGAAATTGGACGATCTAACGACACTTTTCTTCAATGGTGTAGTCATTCCATTTGAAACGGAGGTGAAATATCTTGGCATTGTCCTTGATAAAAGACTCACCTGGAACGCTCACTTGGAAAAAGTTTTACACAAAGCCAGACTGTTTCCACGGACATATCGAAGGATTTGTGGTAAAACTTGTGGTTTAGGTCCCGAACAAATCCATTAGATTTATGTGATGATTTTCAGACCAATGATCACGTATGGTGTAATTGCTTGGTGGCCGAAGGCTTTAGAGAAAACGGAGACAGGCTTGTCTGGCTATCAGTTGTGACTACCGCTGGCTACCGTCAGCGGCCATGGAGATCCTTCTAGATCTACCTCCTCTCCACATTTTTCTGGAAAGAGAGGCTGGATGGACTGCATACAGACTTGTACACATTGCCAATGCAGCAGACTGTTGGTTTACATTGGAAGTCACAGCATTCTGGAAATAATCTCTGACTTTATGCCTCCAACTGTTAACTACGAACTGCCTTATGAAGTATTATTCCCGAGTATAGAAGACTGGATCCTGCGGGAGAAGAAAATATTAAGAGCAGATAGTTGTTGGTTCACAGATGGATCAAAAACACCTTCCGGTTCAGATGCAGGTGTTTTCAGTCGCAGACCCAGGACAGAGATATCTACCTGCCTAGGAACTTATGCGACTGTATTTCAAGCGGAAATTCACGCTACTGAATTGTGTGCGGAGAGATTGGATAAATCCAACCTCACTCACAAGACAATAGAAATATTCTCGGACAGTCAAGTGGCGTTGGAAGCTCTTGGCAACATATTGTCTCTGTTCTGAATTCCTGGCCATACTGGCCTGGAAGGCAATGAAGCTGCTGACTCTCTTGTAAAGAAAGGGTGTTGCAAGCGGCTTCATTGGACCAGAACCTGTCATTGGCATCGCTTTGGGCTTTGCCAAACAAACACTTAACACCTGGACGGCAAGAATAGTTATGGACTTCTGGCAGAATCTTCCAGGATTGGCTCACTCCAAGGCGTTTATTCACCCTTCGAAGCTTGATTCCAAACAGTTGTTGGAATACAGTAGGGATGATGTGTAGTAGGTCTTCTTACAGGTCACTGTCATTTGAATCATCACATGCAGAGACTTGGACTGTCGGAAGACAGTGTGTGTCACCTCTGTCTGGAAAAAGATGAAACTGCAGAGCATATACTTTGTGCCTGCCCCGCTGAGGACCGATTCAGGTTCTTTGAGTTCCGTACTCTCACCATCTGACCTGAAAGACCACTCACCATACAAACTAATCGGCTTCGTTAAGTAGCTGGGTTCATTTAGCCGAGTGTGAATAGGTGTGAGCCACAATAAACCCTTGTGGGTTGCGGTGGAGAGTCAAATAGACCTACTCACTTTAGACCTACCCTACCCTCAAAATTTCGAAAATTCACGAAATTCACGAAGGTTCCGATTACACCTAATTCAAAAGGTTTCAACTTTCTACTTTTCTTCAATTCAGTTGGGCCATATCTACAAGAGAAAAATCCAAAATATCACATTGTTAACAATGATATTCGAATGTTGATAATAACCTATTCTTTCTTTTGCATGGCAACAAGAAAATGGACCCACTAAAAACATGATGAGCCATGCTATATTCTTTTTGATTAAGTGAGTGATATCATCAGTTACTAGTCTCGACTATCTCGTCAGGAAGATGAGCAAGATATTGCTCATCTACTACATTGGATTGGAAATTGAGCCTTCTGTGATTCCTGAAAGAAGCCTCCTCATGGCTGTAGAATACCATTTTGGATAATTACAGGTTATCTGAAAAGATCAGGAGAGTTTATCCTGGCTAGTGAATGTACAGTCAGAGCTTTTGATTCCCCCAGGTATCTGTAGACATGAAGCTCTGGTATTGTAGATGTGAACCATCTTCTCCCAACTTCTCAACGGCAGCAAAGAGCATGAGAAAGATATTCCAGTTGATTTGCTATTGAGGTTGTCGAATATTCAATTTACAAAATTTTTACGTCAGTGACCGCAGTAACTCTCCTTAAGAGAGCATCTGTGATTCGTTGACTGAGCATAAGCGTTTGTTGACCTGCTCAAGGGAGTTTGTTGATTCTACTGCTCGAAAATTTGGAGTAGGGTGTTTAGAATATTTCCTGATCTTGATAATGCGGTGTTACAGAAAGAAAAGTTGTGGTTCATTCGACGCTCGCCTTCTCTCAGGAAAAAACAAATGTGGCTCTGAAAAAAGGTCTCCTATGTTGCTCTTCAGTCAGCCAGAAGAATGCAGTTCCGATCCTCTCAGTTAACCAGTCGGTATCAACGACTTATTGGAAAAAAACTAAGAATCCAGTATATTTCTTTCGTGATGACTGCGCAACTGTTTCGTCATTCCATTCGGATTCCACGACATGGGCTGTGGATGCGAATTTTCACCGATAGTAAGATGTTGTATATCTAAATGAGCATCTAGACGATATTCTAGAATATTCTCTATGGCAACCAGAATTGTATGCTGAAGAGATTCCAGTTAATTGATCGATGTTGAGATTATCACAGATTTTGATTTTGTTGATTGAAAATCTGTTGTAGGACGAACTCATATCATATCTCGATCTTAAGAAGGTAATAAATTGCTGCATGGCTGCACCATTTAGTCTCTCAGTATTGTTAAGAGGATCAGGAGTTGGAGAAAGCTCTTGCTCTTCATATGATGTATTTTGTAGACTCAGTGACCAATTTTCCGGGCACTGGTCTATAAAAGGTCTCAGTAGCTAGCAAAAAAAGTAGTTCATCGCAGCGTCTCTTATATTCCTCTACGAAGAAAGGACACCTGGTATCTGAGTTAGCTCAGAATCATACATCTTATTGGCACGGCTCCATATCAGTTCACAATTAGCTACTGTCTACGGAACAGTACTTGATTGTTTTGAATTCTTGTTAAACATTTTTTCAGAACGTGTTCGAATATTTTTTCAGTTATATTTTGGCAATTGATATTCTCAGATTCCAGAATGTTTTTTCTCCTTGAACGAATATTTGAAAATGAGATGAAATTATCAAAAATACAATAAATAGAACTAGTGAGGGAGAAAAATATATTTCGGAAATTGAAACAGACCTGTTCGAAAGATTTTTTGAAATATTTCTGTAATAGATCTGTCTCGTTTATTCAGTCTGGAAAGACGAATTCACCAATTCATCGGTGGTTTGTCTTTGTGGCATTGCATATTTTTCTTTGCTTTCCATTCAATCCACTACGAATAAAAAAGAATCTCATTATAATTATGAAGGATTGATTTTTGAAGAAAGTGGGTGTTCCTTTCTACTTTTATGCCCATCCAACTCCCACTCTGGAAAAAAAGTTTCAGATCTGGGACTAGAATTCGAGTAGTCCACTTGAAAAATACACATTCTGAAATCAATTCGTTCTAGGATACTTATGTGGAAATTCTATTTTCCGGAGATTCCTTCAAATTGGTTCTAACATAACCAAATCATTAGGTTTTTGTTCATGTAGCATTGTTCATTTCTCGTGTGGTTTTCATCGAGTTTACTGCAAATGGAAAATACTTTCATTCACTTTTTGGAAAAAAGTGTATATCTATTTGCCTTCATGTCTGTCAAACTCCCGCTCTAAGAACAAAGAAGAGCTCCAGGGCTGGGATTAGGATTTGAGTTTCCCTCTGCAAAAACTCTCCTCGTAATCGATTTGTTCCAGGGTGCTTGCAAGAAAATGATGTGAATGTTCTCAGAGATCCCTCTGAATCAACTCCAACATTAATTAACCTTTTCCACAACTTAGTATCATTCTGCGTGAAAATGTCTCCAACACATCAACCTCCTACGTAATTACCTGAAATGAAAATTCGTGGAAAAATGTTTCTCGTATTTTCTCACTCAGTGAGTTCAAGAGAAAAATTGGACGTAGCATTCTCGACGAATCG